ATTGATTTGATTAATCTTTTGACTCTTGAATATTAATTGAGACCATTGCTTATTTTTTTGTCATACCATCTTTTCCACACATGAGGTTGATTTACTTTGTCCCTCTTTTTTGTTGTCCATAAGCAGTTGATTTGATTAATCTTTTGGCTTGGGTACTAATTGTGACTATGGTTTCTCTCTTTTCGGACTATCGGAACGGTGGTGGCGAGGTCGAGTTTTTTGTGCCATCTATGGTTGTCTCTTTTCAGACTATTAAGGCAGTGGTAGCGAGGTTGAGTTTGTGTGTCAACTATGGTTATCTCTTCTCAAACTATTAAGGTGGTGGTAGCGAGGTCGAATTTGTGTGTCAACTATGGTTATCTCTTCTCACTTTCTCAGACTATTAATGCAATGGTAGTGAGGTCGAATTTGGTCAAATTATTGAATTGGGCCAACTATATGTACATTTGTAGTTGAATTGATGCATATTGGTGCATTTGTTTCATTCAAATTGTTGGTGAAATAAACATGCATTTGTTTCAAATGTATGTCCCTAAGGATGAAAAAAATAGACAAATAAAATTTTAGTGAGTCCAATATAAAGGTTCGATTAGGTCCGGTCACTTTCTTAACTTCTTATATTTGAGTTAAGATTTAAGCGAGTGTTTAGAGAGTTGTACGATAAAGATTCGGCTAGAGATGCCCTGATTAAGCTACCCTACAACTGCTCTGTCCCAGCCACTGTAAAGAGTGCCAGAGGTCATCAAACAACATTGCAAAAAGATGTTGAAACACCAAGTTTACATACAACTTGAGCTCGAAGATTGTTATTGTTGTTGTATTTCATTTCATTGGAGAGTAGTCTCGATCTACTGCTTACTTACTTGGGAAATACATATTTAAGAAGCTGATTAAGCCAGTGAGCTTAATTAGCCAGGCTAGCTGCTAGTTGGCCATCCCTGCTGCTGCTGCAGAAGCAGGGGATGCGGGGGTGCCGATAGAGTAAGAGCACTGCTGCACGGTGATCTCGTCGACGGCGAGCGTGTCGGTGGGGAACGGGCAGGAGCCGGTGTGGGTGCCGTGCAGCGGCTCGCATGGCGCCGGGGTGACGCCGGTCGACACGCCCTCGACGTCGGCGCAGTTCCACGACACCTTCCTCTCCTTGGTCATCTCTGCGGTGACGTTGGCCATGCAAATGCCCTTGAAGGGCGCGCCCTGGATGCCCTGCATCCTCGCTGCCTCCTTCCACACGCCGGTGGCCACCACGTCCTGGTAGCTGATGTTCTCGACGACGGGCACGGCCGTCTTGTCGTAGCCATCGTCGGGGTGGGACTTGTAGTCGCCGGTCATCCAGAAGACGCGCTTCATGCCGTCGAGCCTCATCCGGCGCGCGTAGACGTCACGCACGTACGCGCCGCGGCCGACCGCCGTCTTGATCCGCACGGCCGACTCGGTCCCGATGGCGGTGATGTCCTCGGCGCGCACGTCCCGGATGCCCCCGGACATCTCGCTGCCGAGCGCGATCACCGCGCTGGTGGGCGACACGCAGGTGAGGCGGCGGACCACGATGTGCTCGCTGGGCATGCCCACGGCGATGCCGTACTCGTCCCAGCCGCTCTTGATGGCCACGCAGTCGTCGCCGGAGACGACGTAGCAGTCCTCGATGCGCACCTGGGAGCACGAGTCCGGGTTGATGCCGTCCGTGTTGGGCGACTTGGTGGGCGCCAGGATGGTCACCCCGGACACCACGATGTTGCGGCTGTAGACCGGATGGATGTTCCACGCCGGCGAGTTCACCAGCGTGACGTTGGAGATGAAGACGCCGTCGGTGTGCATGAGCTCGATGAGGTAGCCGCGCGTGTACTTGAGCTTGCCGGACTTGTACTTGGACCACCACGTGGCGCCCTGCCCGTCGATGGTGCCGTTGTTGCCGGTGATCACCACGTCCGTGAGGTTGGACCCGGACACGAGGCTCGCGTACCGGCCGCCGGCGTGGTCCCGGCCGCGGCCGTAGGAGGGCAGCGGGTCGATGACCGGCCACTGGGCCACGTCCTGTGTCCCGAGGATGACGGCGTCGGCGTGGAGGAAGAGCGTGAAGTGGCTGGTGAGGTTGAAGGGCGCGGTGAGCCACCGGCCGGCGGGCACGTAGAGCATGCCGCCGCCGCCGCCCTCGCCAGAGTACTGCGACAGGTGCTCCACCGCCTTGCGGAACGCCGCCGTGTTGGAGGTGTTGCCGTCGCCCACCCCGCCGAAGTCCAGCAGCGACGCCGTGTGCTCCCGGCAGCTGGGCGCCATGTAGGTGCTCTGCCCCGCCGCGCCCGCTTGCGGCGGCGCGTGCCGGCGTGCCGACACCGCCGTCGCCGCCAGGAGGACGGCGAAGCAGAGGATCTGCAAGTGATTGCACATGAGGGAAGCTCACTCAGAGATCTGCGACCAAGTGTTGAAACTTGAAACAGGAACAGAGTGCAGGAAGACAAATGGGGAACGATGAATCAACTGTGATTTTCGCCGCTGATTCGAGCCAGAGCAGAAAGTCCGAAAGCATGGGCATTTGTGTGTGCCTGCCAGAGCAGAAAGGATGTCGTTTTCTCCTTGTATCTTCATGGCCATTAGAGCACATCAGGATGCGCGCCAAGGTGCA